CTCTTCTTGGGTAGCCATGCCAGTTTTCCAAGCAATATTCTGATCATTAAAACAAGCAGTGATGTAATTTCCACAGCGACCACAAACATACCAAGAATATTTGAGCTAAATTTATCCAGGCTTCTTGTTTGAATCACTGCTTTGGTTCGTTATTTTTCCACAATTTTCAGCTATGCACAGAAAAGGAGTTGTGGGCAGCCTGGGACTGAGCTTTCCCCAGCAGGATCCAACCTTTCTGCTTAGGAGAGTAGAAACTATTGACTATTTGAAACAAAATGAAGCTGCTCCTCCAGGTCCCTGCTCCTTTGACCCTTCGCCTTCCTCCTGCCCTTCCTGCAGCAGACTGACCCTTTCCCTCACCCCTGGGTGACACCACATGGGGCTTGTTTTTGCCCCTGAGCACTTCCCCAAGCTCACCACAGATCTGTCACCCTCCCCAACAGAAGAGGGTGAGTCAAAAAAGAAAGGACCTGCCCCACATGTCCCACTGCTCTGTGCAGCTCCCTGGCAGACCTCAAACCCTTCCTGCTTGTCCAGAACCTTGGTGTGCATGTTTTAAGGGGAATCTGTAATTTCTGAGAGCACCCCTTTTCTTTTTTTTAAACCAGAAACTGTCCACCCTAGGGCTCCTTTGACTGCAGGAGGGCTTTTTGAAGGTTGAGGGCCTTCCCTAATACTTACAGACCTCTTTTACAAGTCCTCCCTTTAAGTAAGAGCAAGAGCAAGGCACAAATTCAAAGCACAGACACACTTCTGTTGTGAAACTACCAGCAGCTTACATAAAAGGGCTGCTGCTGTGGTGATACATAATCATGCAAATAAGCAATTACTGACCTACTAATGAGCATGCAGACTTGGATTAAGGAAAGGCATTAAATATCAGCCTAACTTGATGTAAAATCTGAAAGAGGACCTATTAAGAGACAGACTTCACCTATGCAGCAGACTGGGAGCTGACTGGTATAAAATCCACCTCCCACCCCCCATCTGCAATGCAAACGTTTCCTCCCAGTTAGCTCTTTTCTGCCAAAGCAGCCCCTTTATCGATCAGAGAGCTGAAAAACAAACAAGCCCCAGACTTAACCCTGTCAGGATCCCTGAAGATCTGATCCCAAGCCCGTTACATCAGTGCAAAGACTTTAATGGGTTTCAAATAAGGGCCCCATAGGCTCTGGAGAGGATAAAAGAACATCAGTTCATAGCACTTCCTTTAATGCAAGTATAAAATCACCTGCAACATCACTGACAAAACAATAAATCAATCACAGGCCTGGTAAAGACTGAGTTGGTGTGAACACTGTCAGTTGTTTTTTTCCCACTGAAACAGCTCTGTGACCACAGTGTCAGTCCTCACCTGAGCCACACATTAGTAACCTGCTCAAGGAGTCTCTGTGTACAGGTTCTAAGGGCAAAAGATTTTCTTTAATACCTTATCATCTTATGTTTGTTTTTTATTAGGCTTCTTGATAGAATTGTCTTAAATTACACTTTAATGTTACACACCCCCCAAACATAACTGAAAGCTGGAAAAACAAAGCTGTGTAGCAGCAGATACTGACAGATACAGGTCAGACAAAGATCAATGTTTTACAACTGTCTGTAAATCAACTGGCTCTCGGGTTGGACTCTCTGCTCAGTTATCTTCCCAAGGTCTGCAGGGCTCCCCTGGCACTCCCAGCAGCTCTGTCCTCCCAGGAGAAAGCTGCTCCTGCCCCTAGCTAAGCCCTACGTGCTCCTTTATATCTCCTTGACTCCAGTGGGATGCAGCACCCCCAGGCCAAACTCCCACCTTCCACGCTCACAAGGAGACATTTCAAAGGCAAACAGTTCTTCCAGATGCCTCTGCTTCAAAATACAAGGGACACCTTCTACAGGTTATGTCTGAAGAACAGTGCTTAGCACCCAGACTCCGAAAAGCAGTTCAGGGTGTTTTAAATTGGGCACCTAACTGTAAATGCCCCAGCACCTTCTGTCCTTTTTTGGAGATCCAGGCTCAGCTGGGTGAGATGGTGGATGGTCTGCCCAGGAGAGCAGGCTCCACCAGAGGCTTTTGCTGCTGCAGAGCAGCCTTCCTCCTGAGCTTCTGGCCCCATGTGAGATTGCATCACTTCTGTATGAAGGGTGCATTTAAATATGTTTAAAAATACTTGCCTGTTCCTGCTTCAGTGTACTTCCTACTCCTGTCTAGCATTTCCTACTTCTCCTTCTGCAGGGCATCTTGCAGTAACACTACCTCACAGAAGATACCTGGTTTATTTTTTGCCCCTTTTTTTTAATTTATTTTGTATTGTAAGTATATTTTCAATTTGCTGTTTGGACTCAAATTAACTCACAGCTTAACGAGCAGGATGAAAACCAGAACATCTTCAAGGTTCATTTAGCCTGATTATAGAGAACTTCAAGCAAGCAACACACTGTGCAGGTCTTGAGTGCTCTGTGTGCTCAGATCACCTCCTGGATGTTACTCCTCTCCTTCTGAACTGATTCAAAAAAATATAAGCAAAGATATTCATGCTACCCAGTGCAAGGTCCTGCCATTCACACCTAAGTCAACCAAACCAACTGTGCAGAACTACAAGGAAATGACAGCAAAGATCTTATCTGGAGGCCATGGACACACCCCCCCAGCAGCAGGTGAGCTCTGCCTGCTTTTATTGCTATAAAGAAGTCAGCTCCCTTCCTTAGAATTTTACTTCAGTGGATTTCACCCTGCCAGACTGACAGCCTGGGAGGCTTGCTTATCTGGTAAGCACAAAACAGAGAGCAAGGGCAGACTCTGAGAGCTTCCATCCCTCCACCTCCACCCCACCACCTCCAACTGCCACCCTAAAGCACAGGCCTTGGCCACATCTGCAAACGTCCAGCCCTTGTGCCAACCGGCGCGACGCTGGAGGCACCAAGTGATGCCCCAGGAGAACAAGCTGTTTCCTTTGCTATTAGCTAACTCCAAGCTGCCACCATTCAATCTGTTGTGAAACTTTCCATACAAAATTGCACCAGCTCCTGAGCAGGCCTTGGTGTTAAAATGGCTCTTTAACTCTCCCAGTTAAGCTGTGCTTACTTGCACTGGAGCCTTTTCTACGATTCAGGAAGCAGCGGTGCAGGCAGCAGCTTTCCCTCTGAGTCAGAATTGAGCTGAGCCATGGCCCAGGAGGGCTGCAAAGGTCACTGCCATCGTGGGTAGCCTCTTTCTGAGAAAATACAAAGCCCTGTGAGCTGCACAGTCGCCACAGCACTTCTGAAGCACAGCTTTAAAAGCCTTCTGTCCACTCCAAATGCCAGCTCAGCTCATTGTATCATGGTGACTTGTTTGCATCCTTACTTTAATATTTAGGTCTCTTTTCCAGGCATACTGCACGTGTCTACCTGTGATTCTGTTCCTTGCCAGTTGAAAGTCACCAGCTTACAACAGATCTGCCTCAAAAGAAGATTCATTTAGTTAATATCTGTAAAGCTACCACAGAACTTCAAACAACTATCACTGGCCTCGTTGTCCCTAATGATGTAATATCATACACGTTACAAGGTAACACCCCTTTTCAGTGCTCATTTCTAGATTTAGCAGGAGAGAATAGACACCCTCTGGCATGTCTGAAAGATAATCCAACTCCACCTCTGAGACACACACAAGCAGCATATGAACGCTCTGAGACTTTGGACAAAATTCTCAGTAAACGAGCAGTAAGCTCTTTTACAACAGCACCCTGACTTTCCACAAGACAACGACTGCTTTTCTACATCTCTGCTGAACTGTCTCCTAGAAACTCCTGTGAGAATTAAATCCTAGCTGTAAAATTTCATAAGACTCAAAAGAAACCAACCAGCTTTAGAAAGGAGGTGAATCTATTCTGTTCTAGGCATTCATACAGTGATATCTTTGGGCTTCTGTTTTATTTCCTACAAGATTCATGTCACCCCCATTATATTATGTAGAGAGCTTTAATCAAGTTTAAAATAAATAAATAAATCTGTGCTTCATGAGAGACTGCAGCCACCCCCGTATCTCTGCTCACTTTCTTCCTTTTAATTAGGGCAAAATGAACAAATCCAGGAGAGGAGAAGCAGGGTTTGAGGAGGCAAGGGAGAGGCTGGCTGCCCCCAAAACAGAGCACTCTTCTGCACTCCAGTGAGTCTGTGGACCAGCCAGTGCTCGCCAGCATCACCAAGTCAAGCTGGCACCAGCCCTGGAGGATAGGCAAGGTCCAACCCTGGAAGACAGCTTGCATCCTGCTGGGATACAGGCAGGATCACTGCCACAGCCAGGAGACTGAGCAGCGAGGTGAGCCCCTGCATCACACCCTGTGTGAAAGGATCCAAATGCAGAACAAGGACCAGCTAACTTAGGGAGTGAACCAGCTGGCTAATGACAAATAATCTTGGCAGGACTCAATCCTGAAAGAAAAATAAGTTTAAACATGTACAATATGCTTAGAAAGAACAAATACACCAGGGAAGACCTGGATCTTAAGCTTTCCTCTGCAAGTCTTCCAATGCTATTTATCAAACAAAATAAGCCAGACATGTAAGTATAGAAGAGTTACACCAATAAGATTTGTATGCCTCCAGTTAATCAAGTTTTACTGGACATATTTACATAACAGAAACATGTAATAAAGTTTTCAGAAGAAACACTGAACTCACAAAGTGGAAAATACATCTTTTTCACTTTTCATTACTCACTCGTAAATCTGCTTATTTACTGTATCTTTAAACACAGAGAAAAACTTGTCAAATCACTGCTGGAGAACAAAAACTCAGCAACTCTTAACACTTGCGAATCATTAGCGCAGATTAAAATTCTTCTCATGGTTTCTAGCTTAGTATTCAAGTGGAGATAATTTCTTCCAGAGAGGCACTCAGAAGACAGAATGTAAGAATTTTAAGATAATCCAATAACCAAATGCTCCTGATGATTATAGAAAGATACAACGTTAATCAACAAAAGAAAAAAAAAAACAACACCAGAAGAATTAGCATCCCAGAATAAGCAGAATACATACAGAGAAAGGGAAGAGTTCCCAGAGCTCCCCGTGACGCTGGTGAGAAACGTCTTCAAACAAGATAAGGTGGCCTCAGAATAAACTATCAGCTCTTGCTTCATAGTTGCTGATAAAATCCAAAATAAGGCTGCAAGAACATGAGCTTCTACTGAAGCCTGCTTACTCACTACAAAGCGTCAAGCACACCTTCATCCCACACTCAGAACGCAGATGCTGCCTCCTAATGAGCTGCTGGTGGTGAGGGGGGAATACCGTTATACAATAACCAGAAGGCAGAAACCTAGCAGGGGTTTGACTCAGAGAAATGCAGCAGTGCCTGGGAGCTGAAGGTTTCAGTGACAGAAACCATCCAAAAATAATTTGGCTGCTCAGGAAAAAAAAAAAAAAGAAAAATTAACAGCAAGCAACCTGAAGCATATGTCCCTTCCAAAAGGGAAATTTCTGCCTGTGGATTTATTACATTATATAAACACAGACCTTCTAATCTAGCCCAACAACAGATCACTGCACGGCACCAACAGTGGGGCAAGTTGGTGTCTGTTCAGCCTGAGAAACGACGCT